GATTCTTTATCACCATTACTATTTGTTATTGCACTGTTTCCTCTGTCAACAATACTGAATAACTCAGGACATGGCTATCAAACATCAAAAACATCTGCCAGACTATCCCACGTCCTTTACATGGATGATCTGAAGCTGTATGGAAAAACATCATCTGAAATAGAATCGCTGCTCAACACTGTCCATATATATAGCCAAGATATTGCAATGGAGTTTGGCTTGGACAAATGTGCCACACTTACTATCAAACAAGGAAAAATAGTGAAAATTGAAGGAATCAAGATGCCCCACGAAAATAACATTAAGAGTCTGGATGAGGAAGATTACTACAAATACTTGGGTATCCTTCAAGCTGACAACATCAAGCACACCGAAGTCAAGAAAAAGATTAGAGGTGAATACATCAAGAGAGTGAAGAAGATCTTTAAGTCCAAACTCAATGGAGGAAATACCATAAAGGCAATCAACACCTGGGCAATTCTATTCATTAGATACACAGCTGGAATAGTGGACTGAACTAAGCAGAACTAAAAGCAATGGATAGGAAGACCAGAAAAATAATGACAATGAATCATGCCCTTCATCCATGCAATGACATTGACAGACTTTATCTACCAAGGCAAATAGGTGGGCATGGAATTCTGCAAGTACATCAGATGGTTGAAGAAGAAAAAATGGCTTTGGAAGAATATCTGAAGGACAGTGATGAAGATGCACTGAAATTAGTATATCAGGAAGGCTTACTGACTACTGGAGAGACCAAACTGGCCTACAAGAAAGACCAAATGAAGAACAGAATAGAGGCATGGGAAGACAAAGCACTACATAGCCAGTACATTAAAAAAAATAGCTGGGAAAGCAGATAATAACAAGACCTGGGAATGGCTAAGAGCAGGAAAATTGAAGAAAGAGACCGAGGGACTAATTCTGGCTGCACAAGACCAAGCCTTAAGGACAAATGCATATAAAGTCAAAATTGAGAAGATAGCAACAGACAGTAAGTGTCGCCTATGCAAACACGCTGAAGAAACAGTGGACCACCTGGTAAGCTGCTGCAAGAAGATCGCATAGGCTGACTACAAGCAGTGGCATGACAAAGTAGCAACAATGGTGCATTGGAAGGTCTGCAAGAAATATCATTTGCCTGTAAGCAAGAAGTGGTGGGATCATAAAATAGAGAAAGTCATAGAAAATGATAAAGTTAAACTGCTCTGGGACTTCAGAATTCAAACAGACAAGCACCTGCAACATAACACCCCAGACTTAACAATTGTCAATAAGAAAGACAAAAAAAGTCTGGATAGTGGACATGGCAGTGCCTGGAGACAGCAGAATAGAAAAGAAAGAACTGGAGAAGATGACAAAATACAAAGACCTACAAATAGAAATAGAAAGACTGTGGCAAAGGCAAACAAGGGTAGTACCAATAGTAATAGGTGCCTTGGGTGCAATCCCAAAACAACTGGAGCACCACTTGAACAACATTGGCATTGACAAATTTGCCATTAGTCAATTACAAAAGGCGACCTTACTAGGAACCGCCTCCATCCTGCGACGATATCTGTAATAACATCAAACATCCACATCTGCCTATCCCAGGTCGATAGGTAGACAAAATGCCAAATCCAGTCTCAACATCTGGCTGACTGTGCGATGATCCATAATAATAATAATAATAATAATAATAATAATAATAATAATAATAATAATAATAATAATAATAATAATAATAATAATAATAATTAAAAAAAAAAACATTGCACGGTCAGCCAGATGTTCAGAATGGATTTGGCATTTTTGTCTACCTATCGAGTTCTTACCAAGGACCTGGGATAGGCAGATGTGGATGTTTGATGGTATTACAGATATCATCGCAGCATGGAAGCAGTTCCTGTAAGGCTGCTTTTTACAATTGACTAGTTGCAAATTTGTCATTGCCAATGGTGTTCAAGTGGTGCTCCAGTTGTTTTGGGATTGCACCCAAGGCACCTATTACTTTCTTGCTTGCAGGAAACACTATACCATTTCAGACAAATGGCTGTCCAGTCTCTTCTTAAAAACTTCCAGTCTTGGAGCATTCACAGTTTCTGGAGGCAGGTTGCTCCATTGATTAATTGTTCTCACTGTCAGGAAATTTCTCCTTAGTCTAGGTTGCTTCTCTCTTTGGTTAGTTTCCATCCATTGCTTCGTCTTGCCTTCAAGTGCTTTGGAAAATAGCTTGATTCCCTCTTATTGTGGCAGCCCTTGAGATATTGGAACACTGCTATCATGTCACCCCTAGTCCTTCTCTTCATTAACTAGACATACCAATTTCAGCAACCGTTCCTTATATGTTTTAGCCTACACTCACCTAATCATCTTTGTTGCTCTTCTCTGTACTCTTTCTAGTGTCTCAACATTTTTTTACATCATGGTGACCAAAACTGGATGCAGTATTCCAAGTGTGGCCTTACCAAGGCATTGTAGAGTGGTATTAACACTTCACATAATCTTTATTCTATCCCTCTGTTAATGCAGCTAAGCACTGGGTTGGCTTTTTTGGCAGCTGCAGCACACTGCTGGCTCATATTTAAGTGATTGTCCACTAGTGCTCCCTCTTACAATTACTACTATTGAGCAAGGTACCACCTATACCAGGGATGTCAAACTGCCGGCCCACGGGCCGGATGTGTCATCCAGAAGCTGCACCCAGCCCATTGCTGGCAATGGCAAAACCGCCCCGATACATTGCGTGACATCACGTGATGATGCGAGTTTGACATGTCTGACCTATACTATACCTGTGCATTTAGTTTTTCTTGCCTAAATGTAGAACCTTACTTTTTTAACATTGAATTTTATTTTGTTAGTTAGCGCCCAATGTACAAGTTTGTCAAGATCCTTCTGTACCTTAAGCCTATCTTCTCGAGTGTTGGCTATTCCTGCCAGCTTGGTGTTGTCTGCAAATTTGATGAGTTCCCCATCTATCCCTCATCCAAATCATTGACGAAGATGATGAAGAGCACTGGACCCAGAACAGAGTCCTGGGGCACCCCACTTCCCTGGGGTACCCCACTTCCCTCCATGTAGATGCAGTTCCATTGAGGACCACATGCTGAGTATGGCCAATCAGCCAGCTACAAATCCATTAGAAAGTTATCTTCGTGATTCTTTAAGTAGATCCCCTACAGTCATAGCAACACTCTGGAGCCAAATATGTAGGTGAATTCATCTGGGTAGCCATGTTCAAGAGCACCATTTATAGTGTAGAGGCTGCAAAGAATGCTTTTTGAGCTTTTGATAAATGGATGGGGAAGAATCCATTGGCTTACAGGTTGGAAGGGACACTCCTACTGTGTACAGAGCACATAATTATTGGTGTCCAATCTAGCAGGTAATGTGCAATACCACACACATACATACAGACTGTGATGAATTTCAATCTTACCTTGACATTTTCAACTGCCATACTGCAGTTTTACTCTTTTACAGTATCTCTTGCCTTGCCGCCCCCAACTAGGGGCATAGAGCAGGCTCAAGTCGCAACTGCGAAATATTTTTATATCCAAATTTCTTTTTTTCTGACAAAGAGTAAAGAATTAAATTGGGAGACTAAGATGGACCATTTCTGGCTTTTTTGCCTTCATCAGTTAGCCATACCCTTTATGGGATTCGAACCTGGA